TGTCACCACTAGCATTTCTAGGAAAAGGAGGCTTGCATGGTAAACCTACACTTTTTTCCTGATGCAAGATTTGAAGTGGGAGGAGAGAAGGAGCAGATTTGGATATAATTGTTTTATATTTTTGAAGAAAAGGAACAATCACCAGTATTCATAGTACCAGATATAGAATTTTCGTCCTTCAGTTTTGGCTCTGCAGAGGACATTTCAAATATTGTCTGACTGGTGGGTTTTTTTGAATTTGAGTGTTTATTGCCACTCATTTCAGAAGAAATGGACATACTCCTGGTCTTTGGCTTATTGGGGTGATAAAAGATAAAAGCTGATGAATCAGGCAAGCATCAATATATTTCGCCAGACTCCAACCCTTATCAGCTGAGGGATTTATTGTTTAATGTATAATTATAAATTGTCTCTTACATTAATATCTTTGGTCTCCCTTTGTGATCACATAAGCTTTTAACTTCCACAACACCCTCTGGCAGGGAGTTTCACAGTTCTACTACTTCTTGCACAAAAAAACACCTACTTCGGCTTGTTTCAGACTGGCTGTGTCTGAATCTTGTGCCTATAGCTCTGTGTACTTTGGGAGCTGTGATGCATGCCTGCAATTTCTCCTGCACTGACAGGAACATGATATTGATGGCGTTGATCATGTATACAGTGGCAGAGGTGATAGATCCCAATCCTAGGTATATACTTTACAAGTAACCTCCTGTAGCTTTTAAAGTCATCTGATCATTCTGGATTGCTTCTTAAATGCATTTTCTTGCCATCTTCATAGCTTAGCAACACTCCTTAGAAACCACTACCTCATAATCTGCATTTCTCTAAGGGGGTGGGTTTTTTTATGTCGCCCCTGCTTTTTCCCTCTCCATGGCAGTAGCCTTTCTTCTTATAATGTGGTGACCGACTTTCCATCTTCTATTCTGGGTTAAAGTTTAAAACATGTCTCATACATAATAATACTAGTCTCATCCTTATGGCTTTACCTTTTGCTCACACATACATTCTTTAAAATACTGTATGGAGCTTCAATAATTTACCTTCAGTCACCAAAAAACCCTTTTTTACTTATCATTGTTCTGTGATTGTTCCATTTAGCAAGTTGTTTCCTATTCTGATTGTTTCTGTTTAATCTGGAAAGGAAAAAAATAGAACACAGCCCTGTGGTTTGTGTCTCGAAGAAGGGGAGACATAAAAAGTGGAGTAAGATAAGCCGTTTTAGCTAAGGCAGAAGAATGTTAAGTGTTCAAAGCAGATGAATTCAAAGGCAAGCAGAAACATGTCTGCTTTTATCTGTCAGTGTGGAAAAGCTGCCAGCAGGCTGCTTCTCATTTGGCAGACAGAAAAATATGAATTGTCAAATCCCTGTGGTTGCTGTTTAGGATTTTGTGGGCTGATGGACAGTACTTCTTCAAAGGGCCTGTTCCTGGTCAGGCAGAAGTTGGGATGCAGTGAGGACCAACATGGGTGAGGGAGAGAGGTTAGACATGGCTAAGATCGTTGTACCAAGTTGGCTTTCAAAAGCAGATCAGTGTCTGATCTTGGTTAGTCCAACAAAAGAGGGATGTAACAAAGCTACATATAAAGGAACAACCAGTCTAGAAAAGATCTACTAGCTTGGGTTTTTTACCTTTTTCCTGAGAATGTGCATGCATACACAAAAGCTCCAAAGGACTGCTGCCCTGGAAATTACAAGTGCCAAATTAATAGCTGCTCAAAGACCTCCTGTCATCAGGCTGTAGAATCACAGGACGCCACTGGGACCAGGGACTCAGCACAACATAAAGAGTGATTGGGCACTAACAGGGAGAGCAAGCAGATCCAGGGTAGTTACTAACAGCAACAAGAATTTTTGGCAGCCAATAGTGAGTGATTTGAGTCCTACCATGTATAGGCAGAGGCAAATTATCCCATGTTTCTTTCTTCAGTTCTCTTGCAAAAGAGTTGAAGCACAAGATTAGCTGGGGCTCAGCTATAATCCTCTGCAGAAGTTTTCCCCCTTCCTGCTCTTTTCCACAACTCCAGCTCAGTGAGCTGGGAGGCTCAGTCCCTGGTGTGAGTCACAGTGCAGTGCAAGCATATCCAAGCTAGGCTTGAAGCTGCAAGCTATGTAGCAGCAGCACTGCAGGACAACTACTGGCAGCTTATCCCCTCCTTTGAGGCTAGGTACATACAAGGGAGCTGAGCTGGGTCCTACCAGCTGTTACAACTCTGGGTAAGTCACTGAGATCTGCATGATCATGTCTGTATTTTGGACTTGCTTATTCAAACATAATTTCAGATCCAAGCCTAGAAGTGGCCAGAAGGCCATACTGCAGGAGCTGGAAACCTTCTGAGTTGAGGGGAGGTTAGCTGACAGATGGACCGGAGGAAGTGCATAAACTTGAGATTATGATAAAGGAAATTGCCTAGAAAGGTGGAGTAGCAGTTCCTCACTTCCTCCAACCACACAGTGGGATAAAAGCTGGTAGCATCTTAGCAAAATGAGATACCTTTTGGAGTCCTTCCTCTTCTGGATTAATTGTATTGTTCTGAACAAATAGAAACCACAGACCAGAGAGCATTTGGTAGTGCAGAAATGGAAGGAAGGACCCTGACTCCATGTCCTTTCTGTCTTGGAAGGAAGTACTATTGCATTACAAAGGCTTGAGGCAGGGTCTTTGCCTGTGTCATTCTGTCCTTGGTCTGACTGCACACACAACAGCCTTAATTAATTTGCCAAAAAATGTGTTAGAGCAGAAGTGTCATGTTGTCAGTAATGCTCTGCAGCAAGCTGCTTCTGTTGCTCTCAGCAAGGCAAGGGATGACAGGTTTACTATCCTTCCTGGTGACATCTGCTAGCTGCTGAATTTTTCCACAAACTTGTCCACTTTGCTTGGGTGCCTTTGAGAGAGCTGTTAAGGACAGAACTCTGTGATAACAGACATAATCAATCTAATTAAAATTAGTTAAAGGAAAGAAGGAGAGAAAGAAAGAAAAGGAAACTACTTGGTATTATTGTACAGGGTTCTTTCTTTTTCCTTTGCTTAACAAATATTTTAGATTCTGTCACTTAAGTACCTAATATGTTTCTGAAGGATGAACAGCTGAAGTCCCATGAAGCTAAGCTGAAGCAGATCTCCACTGAGCTTGCTGAACATCGCTCCTATCCTCCTGACAAGAAGCTTAAAGGCAAGGAAGTAGATGATTACAAGCTGAAGGACCACTATCTGGAGTTCGAGGTATGTATGGGAAACTTTATTACTTTTACTTTTTGGGTGTGGATGGTCTTATACTTAGGGTACAGTCCTAAAATTCTGCACTTTTCACCTTACTTCACCAAGGACTGTTCTTGTTAGACAGATATGTTAATCCCAGCAATCTCAGAAGCTGGCTTGTGGCTCCTCTTTCTGATAAGGACTTCTGGGACCTTAGCCATGAATTTAGCTCCTCATCTGTAAAATGGAGGGTAAAAATGTGTCCCTCTGTCTTTGCCTGATGTATCTATTTGAAGAGATGATAAGATCTTCAGACAGAAACTGTCTCATGTGTTGCCTAGTATGTTGGCACCTCAATCTTTAAGGAAGAAATTACGGCATTCTGCAGTAATACAGATCATGATTATTGTCTTCCATTGGTATCTTCTGAAGAAACTGCTCTTCCAAAATTATTGTCATAGGCATGCCTCATCAGAGCCATTTGTGTTGTGTACGAGTGGGCTGGGTGTCAGGATGAGCAGGAAAAGGGTAGAATTAAAGATCACAGGATTGAGTGATGCAATTTAGGCAGCTGCATTAGGAGGTTTTTCTGAGTATCTGACAGCAGCTTTTGTCCATCATGGTGTCTGCCATATTGTAAGGCTATGTTGGAGGAGGTCGGCAACCCAGCAGGTGCCTGGTATTTTTCATGGCTGCACCTTTGAGTGTTTTTACCCAGAACTGAGTCAGTGTTGCCTTGAGTCTGAAAGGATCCTACTTTAGACAGGAACTACCTGTCAAGGAAAAATACATAGTCTGAAGAAGAGAAAGAGCAGATAACACAAAAGTCAGAGAGACTATCAGAGGAGATGCTGGAGGCAACACAAGCCTCCAGAACTGAAGTAAGCCTCTTGACATGTGTTATGTGAGTTTCTTTCAGAGGAACTCTTTTTACTCCTGGGCTTGACTGGTTGTGTACTTTAGCTTTTGCAAAAGCTTGTAACTATTGTGTTGGGTTTGACTTTGCTGTAGCTCTGGGATGCATTGCATATGGTGAGATGTTTTGCGTAGATGTTTTAGTGCTGTTTTATATACAGAACACAGTTCACCAGTTTGTTTTGCCAGATATGTGAAATGATCTGACCAACAATCAAGTGAGAAAGTGGTGGTCAGGGCTGATGAGCAAAGTGTGCACAACAATGTGAACAGGAGAAACTACATAACCAATAAAACAGGGCTTGGAGTGAGTTAATGGGATAGTTCACATGACTGGAGTGCTGCCATGGATGGATACAAGCTTTTTAGAAAGGACAGACAGGGATGGCAAAGAGGGGGAGTCACCCTTTATGTGAGTGGGTAGCACGCACACATGAAATTTTGCCTAAGGAAGGGTGATAAGCCAGCTCAGAGCTTGTGGGTCAGGGTCAGTAGGCACACCAGGATTGGTGTCATTGCGGTGGCTGTCTCCTAGGCCTTTTTCAAAAAACTGGAAGAAACCTTGTGTCTGCAGGCCCTGGTCCTCATGGGGAACTTCAACCATCCTTATATCTGCTGGAGAGACAACACGGCAGGGCACAAGCAATCCAGGACATTTCTGGAGTGCATTGACAACTTCCTAACACAACTGACTGAGGAGCAGACGAAGAGAGGCACTTTGCTGGACCTCTCACTTATAAACTAGAAAGAACTGGTTGGGAATATGAAGGTCGGGGACAACCGTGTCAGCAGTGACCATGAGATGTTGAACTTCATGATCCTGAAAGGAGGAGTCAAAGTAAAAAACAGGATCACAACCCTGAACTTCAGGAGAGCTGACTTCGGCCTGTTCAGGGAACTGCTTAGAAGAATCCCATTACATAAAGCCTTGGCGGGAAAAGGGCTGTGGGAGGGTGGTCACTTTTCAAGGATCACCTCCTTTAAGCTTAGAAATGGTTCACCCTGACAAGCAAGAAATCAAGCAAAGATGGCTGAAGGCCTTCGTGGATGAACAAGTTTCTCCTGGGAAAACTCTACTGTAAAAAGGAAGTGTGCCAGAGTTGAAAGCAGTGGCAGGTGACACAGGAGGAATAGAGATACTGTTCAAGCATTGAAGAAGGCCCAAGTCCATATGGGGTTGAATCTGGTGAAAGATGTGAAGGGCAAGAAGAAAGATTTCTACAGGTATGTTAGCAGCAGGACAGCTAGAGAAAATATGGGCCTTAGTTGGGGCCCATAATGGGACAGGAGACCTGGTAACAAAGAACCAGGAAAGGCCTGGGTGTCTACTAGTAAAACCAGCCTTCAGCAGTCACAAATACATGAGCCCAGTAGGAAAATCTGGAGCAAGGAACACTTACCCTTTGGTGAAGGATGATGAAGTTAGGGAATATTTAAACTGGGCATACACAAGTCCCTGTGATCTGATGGGATGCACCCACGAGTGCTGAGGGAGCTGGATGATTTGGATAATCATTACAAGGCTGTTCCTGATTACCCTTTGAAAGGTCATGGTGATCAGAGGAGGTCCCTGAGGACTGGAGGAAAGCAAATGTCATGCCTGTCTTCAAGAAAGGCAAGGAGAAAGAAAGTTCCAGGGAACTACAGGCTGGTGAACTGTTTCTCTGTCCATGGGAAGGTGATGGGGCAAATTCTCCTGGAAATCACTTCCAAACACATTAAAGACAAGAAGGTGATTGTGAGTAGTCAGCATGGCTTTCAGAAGGGGAAATCATGCCTGGCCAACATGATAGCCTTTTACAATGAGGTGTGTGGTGTGATGGGTGAGGGGAGAGCAGTGTGTGTTTGTTCTTGACTTTAACAAGGATTTTGACATTGCCTCCTTTAACATCCTCATAGACGAGCTGATAAAGTGTCGACTAAGAAATCTACCATAAATTGGTTTGGAAACTGGCTGAACAACCAAGATCAAAGGGTGGTGATCAGTGGCACAATGTCAGTTTTTAAAACAGCACTGGGGTGTGCAGGGCAAGCCACACACTTTCACTCTGTAGGGGCACTTATGCCACTTGGGAGAGCAAAGAGTTTCTTGGCTTTGGGTCCCTGACACGAAGTTTCTTTTCTATCACTTCTAGAAGCATGATGAGTTAGGATGAAGTGTAGGGCTGGAGTATTGGAAGATTGTAGAAAGACTGATGGAGGAGGAGATTGTTGTGGGGTTTTTCTGTTTTCTGTGAACTTTATCATGGTGGTCTTTAAAGAAATATTACTCAAGTACCTCAGTACAAAGCAGAACCAGCACAGTCCAGGAAACAAAAGATGTCTTCTTCCCTTGTGAGAGCCTTGAATAACAATTGAACTGTGCAGTTCAGATATGTGATCAGCACTGCAGGAATGCCTGTCTAGGCAGGCAAGTGGTGGCATTAACCTCAGTTGTGTATGAGAGATGGTGATTCAAGGTCGTGCTGTGCAATGCCATGTTACCTTCACACTTGACACAGATTTTGCAGGCCATGTTGTACTACCAACAGGCAGCAAAAAAAAAAGGTTAGCTATATGAAAATCCTGAATGGAAACTTTCCCTCTGTTTTGATCCCTTCAGAACAATATCCTGTCAGGGTCAGGCAGGAGCTGGTGACACTTTGCTGCATGGGGTGAAAGCAAAAGGGCAAGAGGCTGGTGAGGCAGTATTTTGTAGTTGGCTCTTTCAGGCAGAGACTGCAGACCAAACCTTGCATCCATGTACAAAGGGCCATGCTGATACACCTCCAGAAGCACGCCAAAAGGGCCTGCGAGTCCAAAGGAAGCAGCATAATCCCATTCGGAAGGAAGAAGGCAGATTCCTTTTCTGTAGGCCCCTGTAATTCCTTTTTGTTCACCCACTGGTGTTCTCTTCATTCTTGTTCCTGATGAAATACAAGTGAGATGGTGTTTCCCTCTCAGCGGAGGTGAACCAGGAGGTGCCGGGCCCATGTTCAGGGATGCAGCCAGGAGTGTTTCTTCTTGCTGGTGTCTTTGCTTGCAGACACGATGGAAGTAACATTTCTCTTCGCTTGCTGTCTGAGGGAGTACTACTCCAAATGACGGTTGCTCATTGCAGCAAATTTATGGTTTGAGAGAGATCTTTAGAGCGCTGTTGGGTGAGAGGCAGAGCCAGAAATTTTATGGGTGGCTACCTCATCTCCTCTTTATTATGTGCATTCAGTCTTCAGAGCTAATGTTGCAGAAGCTTTTGAATGTTTTTAACTTCTGTGTTTTTACTTTCTTGACAGAATTTTCCCAATTAATTTCTTTTAAGGAAAAATTCTCATCAGTTTTTGTACCTAGCTCCAAATGTCAGATCACTAAAAGAGCAATTTTGTTGCAGTTGAAATCAAAATAAAAACTTCCAAATGCATTTCTTAATTGTGATAGAAATCATGGGGCCACAAAGTCCAGGGCAATAGGACCACTGGCAGACATACAGGGCAAAAACTGGTCCTGGATTGCCACTCTGATTGCCAGGTCTTGTGGCCCTGGTAGTGTTTTCTGGACCAACAGAAAGCAAAAGTCCGTATGGCAGTAAAGTCTCTCTCTCCCTTGATGAATTTTACGCTGATCCCAGGCTTAGAGCACTGGCTTGGCTTCTCATTTGCAGAGGTGTACTGTTTGTTGTGTGATGAATCATTTATCAGCCCAGTGCATCATCATCAGGTTTCTGCTTGCTGTTTCTCCATCTCCTTTTTTATTGAATGACACATCTTACCTGCTTTGTATGTTTGCATCTAGCATTGTGGAGCTGGAGCCCCAGATATGAAATTGATAAGAATGCTTTTTAATTTAGTTTTTAGGTGGATTCTTTTATGATAATCCTCTATAAAGCTTTGTTTATTCAAAGGACTTTTTGGAAACACAGTCACATTCTCTCCTTTTTTTTCCCCTTTGTATTTCACACTCCAAAGCAGTTACCAAGGTTTTAGACTTCCTGCCCTCAAATAAGTGTTATTACCAGAACTTTATTATTTTATTATAAATTCAAATAATTTTTCTTAAACACTTTTTCCTCTGTCAGGAACATAGTAGTTTGACAGCTGTTTTGCCACTCTGAAATATAAATTAACAATCAGTATGGATGTTTATGTCCTCCTTCCCTGGTCCCCAGCTGACTGAGGTCACCTTAATTACAATGCCTGCACCACATCTTTAGTGGATATGTCAGGGGCAGGTTATTAAACAAATCCCAGAAGGTGGGTTGCTCTGTTCTGAGGTACTCTTGCCCTGGCTTCTGTTTATGAGGCCCTGCAGGGATCTTCTCTTATTGTACCCTCATTTTGTTGGTTGCCAAAATGTTCTGTGTAGAAAAATGTTATTGAGGCACACAGAGCAAAATCTTCCCATTGGAGAGGAAAAGCTCTGCTCTGGACAAGGAACAGAACAAGTGGGCAAGGGGCACAGTAAAGTGAACTTGTTCCAGTTGAAAAATACAAGTTTCTGGACAGAGAGCAACCTTCATCATTCACCATGAGGGGCCCTGTCCAGGGAACATGCTGTGCTGCTGTCATCGCCCTCTCATCTGCTTCTTTTTGTAAAGGTCTGGCCTTGGACAGCATCCTCTCAGAGGTGACCAAGCTGGTACTGTCTTAGTTTAGCAGGACCCTGCTTTGGTTTCACCCCCAGTGGGCTTGAAGCAAAGAAAGTAGGCCCTGCTGGTGGTACTGGAGGATTGCAGGGGAGAGCCGTAGCCAACCAGAGCAGGATTTTTGTTGTCCTTTAGTTTGCTGCACTTTTAGCTCCATGTCTGCGTGGGGCATATAACATCTCAGTATGTGTGAGCACAGAATATGACTCAGCGTGACTAAGGTCAGCAAGCTCTTGCTTGGTGTTGTTACTTGGAAATCACCATACACTCCAACTATCTGGGAGCCACTGTTCAACAGAATACTGGGATTTGTGTGCTGCAGAATTGAGTGCCTGTAATTGCACAGCACCCCTGAGCTCAGCCTGCCTGAAATCCTTTTTGTTCAGTGGAATTTACATTAGCCACCATTGTTCATATCCACATCAGGCACCATTGTTCACATTCATATTAGGCTCCTGGCTTTCAAGGCCATCAGAAAACATTAAGTTACCCAGACAGTCTCTCAAGTGTTTCTGCAGAACTTCATCGAGACTGATTCAGGCCTTTCTTTTAATTTTACAGAAAAATCGCTATGAGATTTACGTTGGCCTTCTGAAAGAAGGGGTGAAAGAGCTGCTGAGCGGAGGAGAGAACGATGCACCAGGACTGAAGAAATCCCACTCAAGTCCCTCATTGAATCAGGAGTCTCCAGTTAGTGCCAAGGTGAAACGCAATGTCTCGGAGAGGAAGGACTACAGGCCAGAAACACCCAGCATTAAGCAGAAGGTCACTTAGGATGGAAATGACAACTAGGGGAACAGCCATGCAGCAAAATACTGGTGGTCAAAATTTTTTCATTTAGTAACCAGTCATTCACAAAAAATAAGCGCATCTGCCTGAATGGGGTGTTAGTGACATTTTCTATTGTATATTTTGCCGTTTTTGTGCAGATTGTGGGAGATGTCTTTGCTCCTGCTTTGCTTTGCTTTGTTAATTTATCATTTAGCAATTGAAGCATTGGGACTTTTTTGTGTTGTTCTGTTTCTAAAGGAGCTGGGGGAGGGGTAGAGCGCTGTGACGTATATTCTGTCTCTTTCCCATTTATCTCCTCCCATTGGCATGTGGCTTTCATCTCTCAAGTCACTTGTCACTTTATTTACATGGTGGGTGGAAAAAGTAACTGGACAAATGCTGCAGTGCTGTGAATGCAAGCAGTAGCAGTGAGAAAAGCTGTGCAAAAGGGCAGCTGCAGAATGCTGGCTAGCGCCCAGGGTGCTGGGAACACTGGTTTCCTGACAGTGGCAGAGCATGTTGGTACTGGTACTTAGCAGTGGGTACTACTGTAAAAAGTCACTGTTGCTTACTGTTATTGCATTCATCCTGGACCCACAAGCTCGAAGGAATGAAACCTGGAAATCTCTGGCAGTGCTGAGATGACAGCATTGGAATAATTTGTTTTCTTCCTTCCAAGCAAAGAGTCTTCTGAGTTAACAGGCTGGGGGGGTATCCAAACCTGTGCTGTCTCTGCAGTCAGGGAGATTAGGGATTACCCAGTTGGAATGACTACCTGGGTTTTAAGTTTATGTGCAGAAGATGCTGCTGTAGTTGTCAGCCATTAGCATTGTATTTTAAAGACAAAAGGCCTCTGTGTAGTTTTTAACTATACGGTCTTATTTAGCTGCTATATAGAGCCTTATGGTATATTGTGCTCTGATGCTCTCCCTTTCAGGAGTTTCCTTGTTGGTGTGCACAGATAGGTGTTTGCGATTTCTCTGCTAGTGACAAAGCACTTTGCCTTTTCTCTTCAGGAAGTGATTGTCCTCAGCTCTCTATTTTCCTGCTTTAGCTCACATATAGGTGGAAGAAGCTGATGCAGACCAGAGAATAGGACAGATGTGTCCTTGCTGCTGGCCAGAGTTTGATGTTGTCCTGGCTACTCCATGTCTGGAGACCAGCACAAGGCAGCCTCAGCTTTGGCAGATCCTACCCTCCACCTGCAGGGAACTAGCCCACCTTGCAGCTCCTGTGCACCCTGTGCCAGGCTTTCAGAGGGGAGCGCAGGACAGGGAGAGATCACTGTGGGTGGAGCTTTCCATACATGAAAGCCCTGTTTGTGCCACAGACCCTTGGAGTGGCCAGCTGTCTCCAGGCACAGGCTGTAGAAAGATGATGTAGAAATCCTTCTCTTGCTTCCCAACCCTTCTTGCCTGAGTGCCATTGTGGCTCTGCAGAGAGTGCTGGCTCACCTGTTAACACCCTGGGTTTTTATCTCAGGTTTGATACTGGCCTGCTGAGCAAGTTTGGACATGTCTCTCCCATTTTGCCTCACCGTTCCCCTATGTGGAGTAGTACAACCAAACTGGCCTTTCTTGCAGAGCACCTTGGGAGGTAATGTTGAGGACTAGTTGAAAGTTGTTGCTGTTATCTTTGTACCTGGCACAGGGCAGCCTTCCTGATGGATGTAATTCTTGATGCATAAAGAAACGTCAAGATCAATGCAAGGACTGTTTAGAAATGCGCCAGTGTTTCCAGTCCAAGTAGTCAAAGGGCCACACATCAAAAAAAATACCACCTGGGTAGATTTGTGCTCTGCCAGACTTCCTGAAGTGTCCAAGTCAATTAATCTAGATTATTGAACAGCCAGTTCAGTGGGCAGGACAGGGAGCAAAGAGAGAAGGACTTTAACAGGCACTGCATGATTTGCCTCCCCCACTGAGGACCACTGTGCAACAGCTTTCCCAATGGTGTGCTCCCTGTTGACTGTCATGAAGACATTGCACTCTTACATTCTGGGAAGTGTTGGAGCAAATCAATCCGTGCAGTTGCAGCTCAGCAGCAAAACCAGATGGGACTGTTTCCATGTGGGATGTTGGGACATGCACACATCTGGCTTCTGCCACTGGAAGTGGCTGCTCTGTGCTAGAAGTCAGGAGGTTGGTCCCTAACACTGGCAATGTTGCTAAAAACTGCAGAGTCTTGAACAGAAGCTGCCAGTGCTTCCCAACTACTGGGGCTTCAGCAACTGTGCATGTTTATCTACAGTGGAGCAAATGTTCAGTCCCCTTCCTGAAGAAGAGAGATGCCTTCTGCTGCTGGAGCTGAAGTGATGTGGTGCAGCATGCTGTGTTAGGAGACTCAATGTAGACAGGTGCATGATAGTGCTCATTGGGAGGGACTGTTTGAATTAATCAAGTGTGGGTAGATCACCAGCTCACAGAGGAGAAACAAAGCCAGGAGATCCCTGCAGCTGTTCATCGTGCTCTAGTGGTTTAAAACAAACAAGCAGAAGAGGGAGAATGAGAAATGAATTTGGGGAATGCCAAATGCACATTTGAGAAGAAAATGTGTCTTGTCTTAGATAATAGCATGGGGAAGCATGCAGCAGAAACAAACAAACAAAAAAAAATATGCAGATTTGTAAATAAACACTGCTTGGCTGTCAGGGCAGGGCTGTCTAGATGAACTTTTTGAGGGGAGGCTGAAACATGCCCAGCAAACCTCTTGTGATTATAGAGTGCAGTGCTTTAGAAGGCAAAGAGGTGACATTTAACTTTTTTTTTCCCCAGCTTTTAAAATATTCTGGTTGCTGTAGACTGCAGTTAAATTGCTGAGCTCAAAAAGAAATTATTCCCGTAAAGTGTGTTTCCCAGCTTTGACACAGAAACTGGATAATTCATCTTCAAAGTCATTGCAGAGAAGATGATTTTAAGCAACAGGAAAAATCAAAAAGTCACCTGCAAAAATTATATTTTTTTTTCATTATTTATTCTCTATTTCCATGTATACTTGGATTATTTTTTAAGTCATATATGGACTTAGCAAATGCAGTTTTTCACTGCATTTTTTAGTCATTAAACATTTGTTGAGCTTGGAGCACTCTTGGTGAGACTGCTGAGGCATGCTGATTAGTTTACTGAGAATTTGTCAGATTCTGCTTAAGTTTTAATTAATGCCACTTTGCTCCATTGCTTTACAAATTGTAGGCATCCCAGGCATTCATGTGAAAATGTACATTTCAGAGGCTGAGAGAAAAATGTGATCCTATTGCAAATGCCTAAGGCTCCTGGACTCCCTTGGAAATAAGGTCATTTACTAAGCAGCACTGTAATTTGCCTTTTTTTTTTCCCCTCAGTGCTATTGTAAAGGGTGAGGGCAGGTTCTCCGGAGGTCTCAGCAGTGCATGCATCTTCTTGGGTGGCACCAAGAGTCTGACCAGATGGCTTTACATGGTACCTGGTACCATGCCTTTCTCTGCTGAAATGTTTGCCTTTAGCAGAGATCAGTGCTTGACCTCAGTGACTCAGGATCTCCTGTCACAATATGTAAGGATACTCTGCTGGTTTCCAGCCCTCTACTGGGACCCACCACGCACCTGAACTTGGTGTCATTGAAGCAGCCTGCAGCTTTCTGGCAGTTACTGTCAGACCATAGTGAATGTCTGAGTGTGCAAGCCAGCTTTTGCATCAGTGATGCAGGAAGGTGTCATCTTTCCTTGTCATCCTCCCTTCTGCAGCATGCAACCATCACTAAGACAAAGCATCTGCCTGTGCATTGAGAGGAGTGATGCAAAGAGAGGAACAGAATGAGGCCAATGGCTCCTTGCATCCCCCCTCTCAAGATGCATTCAGAGGTCCTGGAGGGACCCATCCTGCTCTGAAGCACTGCTGTTTGCTCACCCTCCAGGGGCTGGACCGTCACTCCCTGGCTGAGGAAGGAGAGACAGGAGAGGACCTCACTTGGTCTGCATCGGACAGCAGAGAGTTGAGGGAGAAGGACAAAATTGCCTTCCCTACTCAGCAGCCAAAGCAGGTGAGATACTCTCTGGAAGCCGAAAGGACACTCTCCATGAATCAGCAGGATGCAGGGGTCTGGTTGAGATCATTTTCACTCAGCAGCAGCTGCAAAAGAGACTCTCCGGGCTGGCTGTGTGTTTGTGTGCATCTTGCAGATAAATCATGTATGGACCAGTGAACATGACTACAGCTTTTAAATGCAGTATTTATGTTGTGTCTTTAATTGATGTAGAGAGATAAGTCAGCCAGCAGAGTGATTAATGTAGCAGAGCTGTGGGGGAACACTGTTCAGCTACAATGCCGACTCAGACAGTTTTTCATCTGTAGCCAGCCACTTGTAATTGGTTACCAAGAAGCTTTCTAAGGGCTTTCTAAGATCATCCCTTAAATGCTTTCCCCCTGATGCTGCCTGCTCCCAGGGTGTGGTCTGTCCACATTTGGGGGCTCTCCTGGAGAGCAGTGCTCAGCCTAGCCTTGTTTTGAGCTAGAGTTCGGACTAGCAGACCTCCAGAGACTGGAATTGTTCAGTGACTTTTCACAGGTCCAGTGCCTTCTGATAACAAGGCTGATTGTTCTTCTGGCTTGAAACAGGCAATATTTTTGCCTTTCTCCAGTGGGGGAGTGATAGTCTTGTTTGATGAGAGCAGCCCCTTCAGTGAGGAGGGGGTTGTGGCAGTGGAGAAAGTCGAAGGTGGCAGGGTTATCACTTGGCTTCTGGAGGCATTGCATGACGATGTTCTTCTTGAAAGCGGAGAAGGCTTTTCTCTGCAGACACTGTACCACTTCCCATGTCTGCATTCTCCATCCCTAAATCAATTTTGGCCTTATCGCAGTTAGTCTGACAGCTCCTCCTCCTTTTCTGTCAAGCTGCTCCTGTCTGTCATCTTAGCACCTCAGCTGCTTCTGTATAACAGGTCTCTTTCCTTCCATGCTTGCAGAAATCCAGAAAATTTGACTGTCCCATCTTGCCGTGAGAAAACCTGCTCTGAAGCAGTGCTGCATTGAATGGATAACCCTGTGAACAGCTTTTTCATTCTGCTTGTTGGTATCCTGTGTTTCCAGCCACAGTTATAGCTGGGAGGTGCGAGACAGAGTTCCCGACTGCCATGATCCTCTAGTGTTACATTGCAGGGATGAAAGGTCCCCCCTTCCACCTTCAGACCAAATACTTCTGACATTCCTAGTCTCCACAAGTCTTGGAGGCAGAAGCAACCCCTGCTGTGGCAAAACTTTTAAATGGTGTTTTGCAAGGAGTTGGGTCCTTTCCAAACCAGGCCATACGTTTTGCAGCCTTTTGGGGAGCTGTGTTAAAAAAAAAAAAAAAAAAAAGCGCCATTTTCAACCAGTGTCCCTCAAGCACAGAGAGATGGCATCCAGCTTGTCGGAAACTCTGGCTGCTTTTGCAGAGGCAAAGTCAGTATACACACTTTACCTCAGGTGCTCTTCCAGCTTGATGCTTGTTTAAACTTTACCCAGTATTGCTCTCCCCAGGCTCTGGGACATCCCATTAGCTCTGAGAGGGCAGTTATTAAGTCCATATTTCTTCTCAGAGCATGACTAGAGCTCCCCAGCATGTATTCCCAGCATCTGATATCTAGGCTGCCTGGAGGGGCTAGGCAAAGAAACTGTCTCAGAAATTTCTTTGAAAGAGCTGGTCTCCAGCTTATGATTTTTAGAGAATATTTTTAGTGCATATAAAAGCAGTATGCCTGGCCTTTCCTCTCTCTGAGCGCTCTCCCAGCAGCATGGGTCTAGTGTAGTGAATTGCTTCACCTGGGTCTTCACCGTGGGGGATCTAAACATTTGCTCCAGTGAGAAGAGGCTTTGTCAGCCTCCAGAGAAATTATACCACCTAAGCTGAGCACCAGTGCACAGGGCAACAATACTGCAGAATAGTCAGAAAGGCAGTGCCACCCTCCATGGCTGGTCAACTGCTGGGGACTTTGTGCTCAAGCATTGCCCTCAGGGCTGGGGATGATTAGAAGTGCAGGCTTCCTTTCTCACCTACACTGCACTGCTTGAGGAACCGCCCCCACCACTGGTTCCTTCTCTCCCTTGTGACTGCAGCACCCTTATCCAGGGGTGCCACGGTCCCGCTGTTAGGAGGCTAGTTTAAATAAAAGCAAGGAGGACAGGTTCCAGGGAAATGTGTCCAGGTGCCATCTGGGAGTTGAACAGTGAACGCAGGCAGGCTCAGCCCTGCCTGAGAGAAGGTACCTTGCTCGTCCGTTTTGTTAGCTGCACTGAGGCTGTATTTTAATTATTATTAGAGCACTTCCCTTAGCAAATGCAAGGAACAGCTTTCCCAAGGGCCACACCATTGACCTGACTTTCCTCCCATGCTCTGAAGGAGCAAATTTAGGCCAGCCGAAAGCATTCTCTATCTTCCCTTTCAAACAATGAACTACTGCATAAAAATTATAAATGTTTAACCATGAGGGACCTCCTATGGCATCTGCTGTTAAATCTGTGCCAGGAATCAGCTGGGGTACAGGCCGAAGGTTTATTTGGAGCAAGAAAAAGTCCCTCACTTAGCACTTTCAATCTTTGCATTGCTACAAATTACAAGGGCAGGATTTTTCTCTGACATAAACCATTGCAATGAATAGCCGCCCTATAGCAGTGGTCCTGTATGTAACTCACCTAAATGAGACCAGCAAAACTAGATACTTTTTGTCTAAGGAGGCAAGGTTTCAGCTTTGCCTTAGGCCAAGTGTATATCCTGGTGTAACCACAGAGCAGGTAGCCAAGCTGCTGGGGAGATTTGTTTGTTGCAAAATACTCTGACTCCCCTGAACCTCCTGCTGGGAGAAAGGAGATCAATGATACCTACTCTGTGTCACTGCATGGGGCAAACTGTATCACTGATACAAGTTTTAAATCACTTACACACTTATTAAAACCTCATGCTCAGTGCTGTCAAATTCTGAAAGACTGTAGGATGAGAACAGGGATATGTTGTGCAATTTTTTAGAAATTTGTACGTATTCATGACAACTATGTCCTCTTACTCAAGGCTGGGATTATAATTTGGCTGAAAGAAGAGAGTTTTTTGACACTTGGAAAGCTTTAAAATCACTATTCTTTGCCTGAGGTACAATCTGAGACTTAAATTACTTGGTGAATATGTTTAAGTGATGCCTATAGATGTGTTTATGTATTTCATAGGTATAGTATGGCTTCTGTGGCTCAGCACTTCAAAGCCTGCGCTTCTTTTCTGAGGCTTAATTTGGTCAAAGCACTTCAGCAGCTGCAAGCTTTGTTGGGATGCTTGTCGTTCTAGTTGTTCTCAAATTAGGTTAAACAGTCATCAGAGCTTTCTCAGATTTAGGGTATCCCTTGAGCTGCCTTGATCTCCATGTGTTGTCCACCAGAGGCTGCCTGTTGTTCTGCACGTTGAAAGCAAGGGAATGTATTTGAGAGTCTAAGCAAGGATTACTGGGTGGGATTTTCTGCTAGTTTAACACTGGCCTAACTCTCTCCCTGTTGATGTCAGCCAGTGCCTGCACCAGGAGCATCCATGCTGACTTCTTCTGAAAATCACACTCTGGGGATCTAATACACAGCTTTACTTCTGAAAATGTTGACCTCGCCCTGTGAAAATTCAGCAAGGGGACATCATGTCCAAAAGTGTCCAAGCAGGACAGGTGCCTGTGATGTCTCCTGCAGATACAGCTGTACAGCAGTAGTGAGGGATTCTTTCTGCAACTGTACAGATTTCCAGAAGAATGTCTGGCTCATCAGCAGGGAGAAGAGCAGCAGGGCTGAAATGTCTCTCTTGGGCATCTTGTATACCTCTCAGAGGTTTTCCTTGGGAGGCTTAACCAAACTTTTAACAAGTTGCTGGTCTAAGTAAAAAGACACAGGGAAACCCAGTGAGTTTTCCTGTTGTGCTCTAGTCACTGTAGCACTAGCATTATCTGCATTATCCCTGGAAGGGAAGAGCAAAGCCCGAGGATGTGATTCTTACCTGGAGTCATAAAACTCATGCAGTTAACTTGAAGCACTTGAGCAACCTCAGTGAAGCCATGCCTTTGTACTTCACTGGACCATGGTCGGTGTGATTGTGCCCTGCAGGACTGAGATGCAAGTGGACTGCAGGTCAGGGTGAAACAAAGAGGGACCTCTCCATCACCTACCTTTGAGTGAGCTGTAATCCTGTAATCCTTTTTCAGGTACTGAGCTTCGCCCTTGAGTTACCTGCCTCCCATGGTAATGTAGTGAGAAGATGAGGGTAAGCACTGTCTCAGAGTCTCAGTTAGAAGTGTCATTTGCCCTCCACATGAGCTGTTGCAGTGTTGTTTTCCCTTAGGCTGAGAAAGGGAACTGAATTTTCAGTTATTGTTGCATGGTACCCACATGGGAAGAGCAACTCTTGGTAGTAGTAGTGCAGAAAAACATTCTGCGCATGTGTCTACACATACCTTGTGCATCTCTTGTGTGCAGATCTAACCTTACAGGGCCTGACAGCAGTTCTTGCAAGACCTTTCCTCTGGATGGCTTTTTATCCCTTTTGCCAAGTATAGGAACCTTCTTTCTGGTAACCGTGAACTCAGTTTACTCTTATCACTGAATCGCTGGAGTGTTTTTCATGCAACACACTAGAGACGCAGTCCTGGTCTCGCTGCTTTGTAGTAACTTCTTGGTCTGCTGTGAAATAGCATTGAGGTAATCACTAAATTTTTTCCAGCAGCAGGCAACTTGCTGCGCTGACTCTTGGGGTGGTCATCGTCTCAGGTTTGAGGCTGCCCTACTACCAGGGCACCCTGTTCTGTCCCTGGGAACACGCATGGCCAGAAAAGCATACTCTTCAGTGGCCAGAGTCAGAGCTGTGCAGACTTAAGTCAAGCCCTGGTTCTTAGGAGATGTTTCCACGTGCTGCCGTTGTCCATAAGGACTTAAACATATACTTGCTTACACAGAGATGCTTTCCTGAAGCAGAGTTGTCACTCTTTTCTACAGGTACCACAGGATGCCCTCCCTTATTCTGCTTCATGTAACTGGTACTAGAATGATTATTTCATGATAAATGAAGGCACTTAATCAGTCCTCTTCCCCTTGGAAGAAGGACTTTTGGGGATATTGTTATATCATTTAAAATAATATTTTGGAATTTAAGTTTACATTGCTTTATTTTTCACTTGAGGTGACTGTATATAAATATTTTCCTCTATTTTATCATTGCTGATAAAGTAAGCCTACAGTATACAGACAGATAATTTGCCTTTGATGTATTGAAACTGTGAGATATAAAGTAGACTTTTCTCTTGTGTCCATGTTCCTGACTATAACTCTGTTCCTCTGTGTTTTTATAAGTTGGAATAAATGTTGCTTACGGGCAACAGAGAGCCTGCAAGCTTCCCAATAATTTTTATGTAATTGAAAGCAAGCAACCCTAGTGAAGGATCTCACATATGTATAATGATATATGTATATGTACAAACTTTAGAAAGAAATAAACCAAATGTATTTCATCTTCTGCAGTTGAGTGGTTTTTATTGGGGCCCTTACTGTTGCTTCCTGTGAGTAAGAACATGAAGGTGGCTTTGCCAGCTCATACAACAGCCTCTGGCTGTCCTGCTCAGGGCAGATACAGACCAATTAGCTGGTGCAGCCCTTTCACCAGTGCACCCTTCTGACTTCTGGCAGTTGGCAGTTTCCAGGTTTCCTGAGCTGGAGGGTGCATGTACCGTCTGCGTTACAGACGCACATTCTGGACCTGAATACCTCTCCCAGGGCAGAGGCCAGTGCAGCCCCACACAAATATATAACAAACAGTCCCTTCCAAAGGAAGCACTAGGAGGCATGTGCTCAGGGTAACCAATGGAGCCGGTGGTAGTTCATGTACACTAGTCCTGTGCAAGGGCAGCTGGAGCATGTGTCTCTTCCTTTTGCACCTCTGCAAGATGTGGCTTCCTTCTGAGCTGTTATGGGGTTTGTAGCCTGCAGAGTTACCACTACTTAGTTGTGAAGGGACACCAAGAAGAGAATTAACTGATCAAAAATGGGTTTATCAGCACACGGGTTGGAAGAGGGAGGCTGCAGAAAACAGCTGTTCAGAAATGATTGGGAGTTAAACTACCTCATAAAAATTTGGAGGTCGAGGGCACTGTCAAGGTTGGGAATTGCTGTTGGCCTCGTGGATGGGAAGCAAGGACCAATGAGAGGTGGAAAAGACAGACACTAAAGAAAAAGGGGAGTGCAGAAAGATAGAGGTGGGAGTGGCTGTGAAACAATGGCTGTCCAAAGTGAGAGGAAACAGTCTGTACAACAAACAGAAAGCAAACATCCTTGTGCTTGCAGTTCTTGGGTTGGATATGCCTCAACATGGGAAGATAGGATACTCTGTGGAGAATGAATAACAGGGCAAATAGACATGATGTTGGACATGTCCAATCCCAGATGAGGCATGGAGAAGCTTTACAACAGGACTGGGAGCTTGTATTTGGAGACAATAGTAGGGAAGACATGTATTCTCTTCCCAAGATCTCTGTGAATGTTTGACCATCTTGAGATTATTGTTTCCTTTTATTTTTTTCCTCCTAGAGTCTTAGCATGTTGCCCTTAGATGAATGGCAAGGCCTCCAGCACTTGAGGTAGTTTAGTTATGTGGGGTTTTTTTTCACACTATGCCATTGGATAACAGATTTTTTCATTGCTGTTTCATCTTGGTTACTTCAAAGCACTCAGGGTTTTTGGTTCCAACGCATGCTTCTGGATTAGTATGTCTTTTATGAAAAGACTAAACAAAGTGCTGGTGAGGATAGGTGGGAGTATTTTACAAAGATGTGTTAAATATCTTCTCTAAGCCCAAATTAATGTTTTAACGGTGTCTGAATGTTAATGTAAATGCTGCTCACCACATCTTTTCCTATTTTATCCTTCTGGCTGACAAAGTCAACGCTGAGCATTTTCTGGTGATTTTCTGCCTGGAATCATTGGTTGCATCAAGTTGCTCACAATGCATTAAACTAGAACAAAATGACAGAACAGGTGCAAAGTGAAAAACAGATGCATTTATATTCTCTTTGTTGTCCATTTTCAGTTCAAGTTTCCAAGTACAGAATATAAGTATCAGGGGAGCCTGAAAGGGCGAGCTTGTGTATGCAGGTGAAACCTCCACGTCAACAGAAGCTACACATCTCTGGCTATTTATAAATAATGTATCATGGGAGAGTGACTTAGCCCAAAAGTAAAGCACAACTTGGTCTGAAATTGTCATGGATATCTCTAGATTAGAAATGGGTAGGAAGTTCTTACCCAGCAGAGTGCTGATGTACTGCAGTGGCCTCCTAAAGGGTAAGGAAAGGGCAAATATACCCAGTAGCTTTTAAGGTAGAGCTTGAAGTGGAATGATACAATGATGACCCAGGTTTTCATTTGTCAGGCCATCACATGTTCCAGCTCTTCACATTTGTTGCTAAACTGATGTTTCTCAAATTATGCTAGCCACTATACTAGCCATTTTTCCCAGAAAAGAGGCTATCCTAGAAAATGTGAACTGCTGCAAAACAGCTAGCCACTGCGACAGGTTTGCTTTCAAGGTCATGTTCATTTTAGGACATCTATTCTGGTCCCATTCCACAGCTAGGTTTTGAGTGAATCAGGTACATATGTGTTGTGGATCTTTCTTTTGCTGGTCTGCTCTTGACAAGACAGAAAAATGAGATGAAAAAAAACAGGATGAGGTGAAAGAATCAAGGCTAAGTAGACTGATTTGCCTCAGAGAATGTGTAAGGTAGTGTGTTGCTATTATGAACTAAAAAATTGTGGGGAATTTTTGGCCCCCTGTACCCAGGCAGGGTGTATCAGTAATACTGTATAAGGCTGAGGTTGCCCCAGTAACAACTTTGGAAACACCAGACTTTGGTGCAGAAGTTGCTGAATTGGGCCAGCAAGGAAAAAGTAACAAGGGATGTGTCATGTCTTCAGGAGGAGCTTGGTCAGAGAAAGGGAGGTATGAGGGTGATAAAAAGGCTGTTCCAGAAACAGAAACAATGATGAAGAAGGTAGAAAATAAGGTAAATAACAAAAGGTGGGGGAATCTTCTGCAAGGCAAAGTTCAGGTGCCTACAGATGACAGCAATGCTGACTTGCACGCCCGAGCTGGTGGGACTCCCTGTCGGGCTTTCCATCAGGTCCGTGTCTAAAAAACTTAAGCGTGAGAAGTGGGCTGCTGAGAGACACATTTCCACCTTGATGATAGGTCATTTGGGGAGAGAAAGGTGGTGGATTTCTAAGTGAATAGTAGATGTGTGTGATTCATAAGATTTAAAAGTGTTAGATTAACAGCTTTATAACTTTGTGTAATAGGGTGGAAAATAATATAATTGCAGATTAGCAATACTGATGTGTTTATTTGATAATCAGAACATTGATTACTTAATACATTGACCAGCTTCATAGTAAAGTGTTGCCTAATCACTAAACACTGTAGTTTCCTAAATCACTTACAACTTGATCTTGCAGTCTAAATGGAGGTAGTTGCTTCCTGAAATAAGTTACACAGAGACAAAGGCCCCAGGACTGTTCTTACCTAGTGTTAACTTGATTCAGCCACAAGAAGTTTAATGACTTAGACAATTGCAAGGATGTTTGTAAGAATATTTTAAAATATTCAAATTATGCAGGACTTTTGCCAGTGATCACAAGCTAAAAAGGATGAGTCTTGAGAATGCAAAAATAACAGTAAAAAGGGCACATTGGAAAAGCAAGGTCTGTGGATTAAAATCTCGGGGACAGACTTTTATAATGCACCAGCATCATGTTTTTTCCCAAAGAACAAACACTACTTGTCTGCACATGTAAAGGCACTGGTAGGCCTTTATCTGTGCAGTCTTGAAGTGTAGGTGAAACGTACTGTTACAGATGGCTAGAATACTACAGAATAGAGCAGCATATATCACCAGGGACTGAAAACTGTGGAAAAGAAGGTGGCAAGGAGGGTTTGTCTAGGAGGAGAGCAACCAGGAACTGTTTGAAAGCCAGAAGCAAGAAAAAAACTGAACAAGATTGTACAGAAAAAGCATGGGAGGTAACTGAACAGTACACATATTTACTTAGCAGTTGGAAAAGGTAATCCATTAATAAGAAAGGAGCAGCTACCTGTGAAGGTTGCCTAACACCTCCCTTTATCCAAGTGCTCTTTTGCTGAAAAGTTCTCATTCCCCCATTGTCTGCAGAGGCACTGTGAACACTGTCAGGTTTGCCTTGGGGTCGGGAGAGTGTGCTGTGTGCTGGCCTTCAGAGAAAACTGCTCAGAGTTGGCAAAGATAAATATTCCTTCCTCTACTTAGTAGCTTGGAAGACGGCGTCATCTCCAGTTCTGTGTACTGTCTGCTAGATGGGGAATGGCTCTGCTGGAAAGGGCAGAAAAACCTCCCAAAACTGAGCTGAAGCCCATTTTCCCTTCATCACTATACAGAGATTGTTCAAAATATGTGGGCTTGTGTGGGTGGGTCAGTGGTTATTTTCTTGCCTCCAAGAAAATGTCTTTGTTCAGTCAGAAATCATCTTTCTGATCTGCCTTACCTTTTGATGTTGAACTCAGAAGTGTTCAGTAGAGATGCTCTGTCACCTCTTTGGGAAGGTGAGTATTTTTAGTCTGCTTGAGCAACCTTCTTCTCTCTGCCCGGGTGTCCAATGTGAAAAATCACTCTTTCTCTTTTTAGGGTAATTCCAACCAGGACTTGTTAACCAATGTGTGACTCTGGATATTTGTGGGTACAGTCTTAAGCACAGACACATGCCCTGTCATTTGAGAAGTGGTTTTGATCAGGTGATGATAGGGGATGCTGCTGTGAGGGTGGGTGTAGAAAATGCTCCCATCAAGGCAGAAGTTCATGCGTGATACCCAGCTCTTGGTGCACATTGCTTCCCATCCCATCTCATCCCATCCCAGGCACCTCACACACAAGTACAAGTACTGAGGCTGGGGTGGATGGAGCCAGGGCCATTACCAGCATAATTACCAGAATAATAAAGACATCAACTACTGCACCCTTGGCTTCTCCCAAAGAGATGTTCACCGTGGCAGGAACTTGCAGTGACCTGTGCCTTGGGCGGGAATTCTCTCCATGTCTGGGCTAAAACATCCTGCTGGGACAGTTCTGTGAGGGTCCTTGCCAATGATAGCAAGCATGGTGTGAACCTGAGTCCTTATTACCACAGCCATACCCACGCTGCGTTTCTCAGGCAACTGAGGCGTGGGTGGCAGTTAGAAGTTGTAATTGTTTCAGGGGAAAAAAAAACATAAGCCCATATACACACACATGAAAAAAAAAAAAAAAAAAGTGCTCCCTTTCTGTTTAGCTGCAATTTCTGACTGCACTTTAGACAATTTGTCAGAATCCGCATTCCTGTTGGCAGGGAGCCAGGATTCCCAGCATGCTGATTAAACTGTGTGTGGGCAAAATGTAGGCAGATGATGAGGACCTGGTACACTGAAACCTTGGAGAGCTTTGTTTTCCTTAGC